AAACCTAGCGAGTAAAAAACGGTAAAAAACGTTTGAGGTGAATTTATTCAGTGTCTGCTAATGTGTACACGAGGATTAGGGGAAATGAAAGGAAAATGGAGCGGAGGGTCGACAAATGAAAAATTGCGGGTTTGTTTATGGTGCGCGAATGAAACCGGACTAATCCCGTTTGATGACGTCACGAGCGACCGACGGGTTAAAAATAGTCCGTTGCCCCCTGAGGGGATATTGTTTAAGCATCAATTATCGCAATTATTAATGCCGATGATGTTGCGAGCAATTAGATAGACGGCGAACAAACAGGACAAATAAACGGAGTTGGGGTCCCGGACGACGACAATGAGTAAACTAATAATTGTCATACGCAAAATGGGCGTAATTGGAGAGAATTAGGCAGATGTTTTGGGTAAATAAGACGATTGTTTGGTAAAGTTGGCCTGGTTTCCTTTGATCCCGTTGTAAATATCTTAGAGGAGTCTAAAACTGGAGCAAGTCTACTCGGCTGAACTTTACTTAATTTTAATTCGAGTGTGGGTTCTGGGGAAGATCTTACGAAAGTGAGATGCTAATTAGGGTTTAATTTAATTGAGTAACAAACCAAATTCGGCGTCTTAGGGTAATAGATTATATAGTTTCGAATCTGTTGTCCTTCATGGACACGTTGGAAGGGATTATTTCCGTGAAGGTTATCTCGACATTTACCTTAGAAGTGTACCGACAAGATTGCTGTCGGAGGCTTTTTACAACTAAAAATTTTTGTTTGGCAGAAATAAAAAAAAAAAATCATCGAAATGACACATTTAATTTAAAATCGTTGATAGAAAACAACATCTAAATCATAAGTTTATAATAGAGAATGGTATGTTAGATAACTAAAAAATAACTGAACTTCAAATTTGTCTACATTTTAAGAGGATATTCGACAACTACCATGTAAATCGCCGTATCATGTGATCATCTGATAAGGGGAGATACTCAGTATCAGTTGACCCAAAGTAAGATAAAAGTCTAATTAATTCGACAAAAATATCAAACCTTAACGTTTTGGTTTAGTTCCTTGACAACCAAAACTTTATACCATTGGTTTGTGAAATAGATAAATTCGTTCAAGATTTTGTTATTAAATATTAAGAACGAAATAATAATAATAATAATATATTTTAATAAAATCCAACAGACAATAGTCTAAGAGGATAAATACAACCTGAATAACAAAATAAAGACAATCTCAATTTATGGTAAATATGACATTTCTACACTTAACTCTAAATACTTTTGCGCTGTGATTAAAAATATCTAGAATGGACGCAACTACATTATAACAACGGCACATATTATTGAGTGGGGCATAATAATACTGAGTAGTTCTACATATATTTAAAGCAAATGTTTCATGATGGCGACAGTTTATTCGAGGTACTAAAAAAACGATATCATTTAAAAGATTCGTACATCCTATAAACCCATGTATTAATTTAAATAAGAAATAAATGTTAGCGAAAGTTCTTCTAGCCTTTAGACTACATAGATTAAATTCACTTAAGAGAACATTATTAGGGTAGGCCCTAACAGGATACACACCATATTCAACAAAATACAAATGTTTACAAAACTTTCTCTGTATACGTTCTAATGATGAGATGTGTACATCATAATAAGGATCCCATACAATGCTACAATATTCTAGTTACATTCTTATATAGGCATAATATAATGTGAGTAGAGCATCGATGTTAGTGAAACTTCTGGTATTCCTATATATAAATCCCATCATTTTAGTAGCATGATCACATAAATATTGAACGTGCGGTACAAATGTTAGTTGTAAATCAATAATAACGCCAAGGTCTTTGATCTGATCTACTTTAGTAATTACTGAGCCATTCAGTGTATAATTATAATCTACATTCACTAGTTTTCTGGAGAAGGTAATAAGTTTACATTTGGATACATTAATTTTTTGAAAATTACTTGTGCACCACTTTTCAAAAGTGTTTAATTCATATTGCAAAAGCTCACAATCATCAGCAGAATCTATATAGTTAGCAACCTTGAGGTCATCCGCGTACACAAACACACGACAACGAAAATGTAACAATGCATCATTGATGTATAATACAAAGAGAATTGGTCCCAAATTTGAACCTTGCGTTACTCCGCTACAAGTGTTGAACGTTTGTGAACGGTAGCCGTGATATTCAACAAACTGTTTACGATTAACAAGCAATGACTTAAATAGGTTTACTAAGTTCTCACACAAACCAAAAGTACTCAATTTACTAAGAAGGATGGAATGATTTACAACATCAAAGGCTTTTGATAAGTCTGTATATAGTACATCAACTTGCTTACGATTATCTAATGCATGTGACAAATACTGAACATATTCACAGAGGTTAGTTGACGTTGATCTGCCCTTCATAAAGCCGTGTTGACTATCGCTTATCTTACAAGCTATATGACTAGATAGACTTATAGCTAAGATAGACTCAAAAATTTTCGCAAAATTTGAAATGATCGCTATAGGTCTATAATTTTCCACATTCTGACGCTCACCATTTTTAAAAACAGGAACTACCTTAGCCGTATTCCACTTGTTCGGAAAAGTTGCTTCGCGAACTATTAAATTGAACAGATGACAGAGAGGTTCAGACAAACAGGAAACACAGTCCCTCACAAAGAATGCAGGTATACAATCTGGGCCCATCGTGAAGTTTGACTTAATTTTCTTAGCAGCTTGGCAAATATCACATGTCGTTATCACAAAGTTATTTAACACATTAGACATATCACTAGAGTTATCACAGACAGATGAATTATCACCGTTAGTATCAGTAACAAAAACTGAACTGAAGAAATCAGCGAAAGTGTTTACGATGTCTTCCGGATGTACTAACTCTTTACCTTGAAAGAACATATTACCCGGGATGCTTGAATTATTTCGTTTCAAATTAATGTATCTCCATAGATTTTGCGGGTTTACTCTAATGTTTTCTTCAGCACATCTAACGAAGTATGCATACTCTTTTTTGATCTCAGTTTTAATAAGCTTCCTTAAACCATTAACTTGAACCAGATCTCGTTCTAATTTAAATTTCTTATAGTTTTTCCACAGATGGCGCTTATGATTAATGTAATTAATTATGGTTGGTGTAAACCATACAGGAAATGATGTTGTTCTTTTCCGATATTTTGGAATGTATATGTCAAAGAAGTCATAAATTTGACCATATAGATAATCACAAGCTTCATCGACGTTGGTAAATAATTTGAGTTGTGACCAATCCTTAATACGTAAAGCGTTGTACAGTGCAGGATAGTTTCCCTTGCGAAAATTGTAATTGTATGTGTTATTAACTGTGGGAAATCTTGGGTCTTTAGCAGGTAATGAAGAAATATTAAGATTAATGGATAAAGAAGGGTGGTGCAGATCTTCATTTACTAGAGGTGAATTGGAACGTGCTACCGTACATGATATATCACTAGAACTCAAAATTAGATCTAAAATTCTGGAGTTAACATTTATAATATTATTGTGTTGTGTTGAATTATTAACATTGACGAAATCTCGTAGTGGAATAGAAGAACCAGTTATATTAGCTAGGGTATTAGATACAGAAATTTGACAGTAGTACTGAGGTATATTGAAATCACCTAAGATGAGCGTGTTCGAAGATAAATTACACGAATTTTCGAGGTATTCAAAAATTTCTTCATAGTGTTATAATATTTTTGATTGGGATATTTTTGGAAGAGTTCGTTAAAACCGTTGAAAGTAATATTTTTCATTAGGATATTTCTGGAAGAGTTCGTTAAAACCGTTGAAAGCGATGAAATCATTACAAACGAACTTTTCTACAATTAGTGCATAATTATGACCAGAGCGAATTGGGAAACAACGGTTCTACAACGGATTTAACAATATCGGTTGTAGGATCAACTGTCGAATGAATATTTTGAATATGATTGGGACTTTGTATGATTGAGAGGGAGAATGCGAGTCTTTATAATTCTAAGTTAGTTTAAGAAAATTCAGTACTTCGATAAGAGTCATGAGAGGTGACTAGTTCTTCAGAAGTGCTCAGTGGAGCAAGTTAATGTAAAAGTGAGTACTTCGAGAGTAAAGAGTCATGAGAGGTGACTAGTTTGCAGAAGTGCTCATTAGAACAAGTTAATGTACCTACGATACAGTGAAATAAAGGAACATAATTCAGAGCAATTAGTGTTATTTCGAAAAGCTCTAGTTATCTCATGAGGAGGTAATTGGACACAAGAAAAAGTTAGAGTTGGTGATTTTAGTGTTTTGTTATAGCAATTTCTCAAAAAGCGGGAAATTGTTATATCAATAGCATTCAGATGAAGAAGACGGTAATATGTATAGGTTAATTATTTTTAAACCAAAATGATTATTGAGATACACAGATATTCCAATAAGATCCGCTTGCGGTACTGGTGATGTTAAGGGTAATTGCTTAGAAATGAAATGTGATTTAACAGCTAACAAAATGCCTCTGCCTCTACTTTTACTGTTAACTCTATAAACATGGAAATTTGTACTAAAGTATTCACTGTTTAAGACATCTTCTCTGAGCCACGTTTTTGTTATAGCAATAACATCAGCGTTGTTAATAACAACATTTGGATAAAACATGGTTGCCTTGCTATTTAAGCCCCTTACATTCTGGTAGGTTATAATTAAATTCGATGGCTGTGTATCACAAATCTGCTGGATGTTCAGGCGTTTTTTGTTGTTTTCTTAATAATTGTGGGAATACCATTTTTGTATCTCATAATAATGTCACTCTCCCCTTAGTCCCCTTGTTCTTTACGTTGTTTAAATTCAGAACGAATCAGATAAGAGCAGTTTTGCTGGCGACGCGTTAGATCACGATTTAAATATAAGTCATTTTTACGATTGTAAGCCCGCAAAACGTCCATGGCTTTTTGAGGATTTGTGAACATGATTTTTAAGGGACGAACTTTCTCGTTATTATATTTACCTAACCTCACACAGGACACTATAGGGATGGTATCCGTGTTAGCATTAGGAACCACAATACTTTGACAACGTCCCATGTCATCTTCCTTTCTCGCTACAGCAGACTCTTCAACGGATTCCGGCAGGTTATACAAAATTAAGTTATTTGCACGACGATTTCTGTCTTCAACCTCTGTGATAATTTCCTCGTCTGATAGTTTCTTGTGGGAGTCATCATCGACCTTGTTGCGGCAGTTTTTTAATTCGTTTAACTCAGACTTCAAACCTTCAATTTCGTCTTTTAGGTCATTAATCGTAGTAATAATGTCGCATTTATCGCAGTAAAAATGTATTTTCCTGGAATTAGACCGTACACAATCCACTTCAAGCTTAGAAAGTCCAGCACATTCCACATGGATATTTTTTCGGCAAATATCACATGTAATCCAGTCAGAATTTCTTATTTTCTTATTGCAGCTACCACACACCGACATATTGTTGCAAACAATAACAAGTATACACAATATACGAATAATATTCTATTATAGTTATAATCGATGGAGGACAAGCACACATCACATCACATCAACTCGCTCAAATACATTTGAGCGACATTTTGATCTATAGTTATCACAGATTCTACAGATAAAAATCGATCGAAGGTTCTAGATAGAACTTACGTCTCCCTGGAATACAACTTTTATGTTAACAGCATTGTATTTTCAAATTTTCGGGAAAATGGGGTAAACCGATCTTGATTTGATGAATAAAATAAATTGTTTCATACATTAATATCTTTGAGTCCCTATACAAGCAACTGTAAATTAAAACTATGGCGCTCACAATAATTTGCAAACCAAAGTAAAAATTCGGTTATTAGCACGTTCCGATAACGAGTATCTGCGTTAAAAGACATAAATTCGTTTTAAATTTTCAATACCACTTTTAATTTCACTTGAAATGTTAAAGTTCGCTTCAAATCTTAGCATGTGTAAGCTAAAGAAACCCTGTTCAAATTCAAAATTGCGAAAAATTTTAGACCCAAAGCCCGTCATTAACGTTCAAGGCAAATTTCAACGCTCACAACATGAAATACACTCCACAACCGCTGTGTTAAGTTCGATACTGTCGAAGAAATTTATATTCAAAAGCCACCAATCATTTTTAATGACAGCAAAAAGAGCAGCGATTTAAATTCATTAGTCTCTTACGACTGATAAATTAAACCACCATCAATTATCATAAAAGCTTTCAAGCCGAATATTTTCAAACGTTGCATAGATAATATTCTAGAATATTTCATCTTCATTATTGTAAGTATTTATCATGCAACCTAAATAGCAGAACTTGTTTAATGAGAGGCAATAAAGCGAGGTGGATGTCATTAACTTCACTTTATAGTGTTTGCATAGTACACACAGATTATTCATCACCTCAAAATTTATTAAGGTTGAAGCGCTTATCTAAGAATAAACGTCATTAATGAACTTAATGTGGTGATCTTAGGATTATACAGATTAGCTGCTTTGAGATTCTCATGTGATTGTTTTTCGAGTGCGTTTTAGCAACGAAATCCTTCGCCATAGAAAGAAACTAAACTCACCTCCCATTATTTTCAACCCGGCAAAATAAAACTGTGCACTCTTTCTACCAACAAAACTACACCAACACACTACGAAAACTTACATCTATTCGTCAACAGCAAGGCGATGTTGCCCTTATCCCCCAAGTGGGTCTTGGTGGACGTGGCCAAAAACTTAAAACCCGCCATTGCCAGCCTCCAAGGCGACGCCGCCACAAGAATAAAATTAAACTTAACCTCCAGGAGCGTCGCCGTAAAACTGATCATATTTATCGGTTTATCGCAAGGTTCCCGTGCAAATATAAACAGATAATTCAGTCGTTAGCCTTGGCGCTGCTGAAAATTACGGGCCGACTACGGAAAAATTTCAAAATCGCCAAACAAAACCGATCCCGTCGAAAGCTAATTCAGATGCATTACGCGTTGCGTAAATCCCGGTAGAGTGTTGTCGGGAAGACTGTAACGTCTGTTATCCGTGGATGCAATGACGTAACGTTACGCAGGATAATTCATAAATCGATTCCGAGGAAATTCCATTTCGGTGCGCGTTCAAAGACCCCAGGAAAATTTCTTATAACTTAATCCGGGGCGAGGAAACTCTCCGATTTCTATTCAATCGGGTATTTGTGTGCTTGTACGGCATGGAGGGTGGATGGTAGATGAGCATAATGGACATGCGAGGCGGCCACCTGAAGGCCTTTCTCCAAGATTTACCATGTTTCATGTGGACGAAGAGAATAAAAATGCGATTCGGCAGATGGAGGAGAAGACGAATGGTCGCCGTGATAAATGCTGGGGCTATTTCGGGCAGAAAATAAGTCGGGGGATGGTGGGATCTGCTGGACTTGAAGTAACAGAGAAAAATGAATATCTTAACGAATGAAGACTATGTTTTTTTTGCTTTAAGTAAAAGATTTGTGAACCTATTTAACTTACAACTGCTACTACGAATAAGTCGATTGTTGTCAAAGATTCAAGAAACGCGTAAATACAATGTCAACTTTAATCCCTTTATCAAGTCGCATAAACAAACCAAGGAAAACATAAACAGAATCGGTAGCAGCTGACCTATTTTTGGAAAACCGTATTGACATGTGATAAAGTGCTAACATAAAGATAAATATCTACACGAATATACAAAACTGCGATAAAATAACGCATAACATTCACAAAAGCTTTGTGCGTAAAGACAGTTACACAAAACAAAAACACTTTAGAAAATTAGGCCAATTTCATTCAGCAATTGTTAAACCACTCAATGACGTTACGATGGTAATGGTATGACATTACCTTTCATCTTAACGTAACCAAATTATTCCTTCTTCTTTATTCTATGGTTTAAGAGCATTAACAATTCTGTAATTAGCTCGTAAAAAAGACCGAAAAAAAAAACGTACTAATAATAACCACACTTTAAAAACAAGTAAGTAATTGTATAAAATCAGACATTTAAGTTTATCTTGGGTCGCAACAAATCCGCAGTTGTATACCCCTTCGAATTTAATATACACTTTCACAAATTTAAATGTTTTGAATTCGATTACTTGTGGACAAATGACAACCAAAAATCAAAATTTTGTTAAAAAGTGAAACGAAGACAAAACCCAAGGAATACGGTATTCCAGGACAATAAACAATTTCTTTGTAGTGTAGTTAAAAATTTGTACACATTTTTATTGGTTAAAAATGTATCAAAGCATATATGTCAAAAGTTTTCTATACACAAAGGTTTAAGTTTTGAACTCTCCTGAATCATCTATGAAGGTTTTGACAAGAATTTTGTCGAACTCGTTGTTATTTGTAATTTATTTTTTGTCGACAATTACAAAAAAGTACAGGTAATTACGTACAGAACTCATGTAGTTAGTCAACATTCCCATAATTTTGCTATAATTACTGCAGAAAAAAATATTATCAGACCTGTCAATCAATATAATGTTTAATTCAATATCGCGTGTTCACATGAGGAGACTTTTACTTTTTTTAGCTATTGGGGATTCACTCGGTCCACAAATACACTTTTCCCTTTTACATGAAGGAGGTTAACCAATATGAATATTTATATCCCTTTTACTTCTCTAGGTTGTAGCCGAGTCCATCGGGCAACTGGCTACTTTCATATTTTGTCGACGTTTCATGACTCCAAGAGTACGAAAAAATACATAGGTCTCCCGTTTTCGTCGAAACAACTGGACCGATTGTAAAATTTTATACGTATTTATTAATCGTGTAGATAGTAAAGCGGAAATCAAAATCATCGCCATCATCGATTTCTACTGCGACGTTTTATTGGTATGTTATTCTCAACGTCTTTCCACTCTAGAGCTGCACTTAGGGCGACAATACACTGCCGTATTAGGAACAAGCCTTCGATGCGCACAAATTACCGGATTTTTATTTACAAGGTCCACTATGATCGTAATACGGGTGGAAAAAGCGACTACTAATTACGAACTCAACTTCGCCATTAGTAGATTTTTATAAAAGATAAAAGCATTACAAATGCACAAAAATAGTTCGGAAGGCTAACATTCTGAAGTGCTACCAAAAAGTACAAAATTATAAAATAGATGTTAACAGCTATAGTTACTTAAGATAATTACCGATCAATTGTTTGTTGCTGTATGTAATAATTATTAATGTATGATGAAGTCAGCGAAAGTTTCTTATCACAAGCATGAGTATATTTACTACAGCAAAATCAATAAATACCGCACTTTAAACAATGAGGAACTTTGTACATTAGTTGAATGATAGTAGGTAAAAAATATCGACGATTTGTGTTCTATCTTTTTTCCACACATCTTATGTTTGGGATTTATTGATCAAAGTGGCACTTAAAAATATACAATATTTTGAATCTTTTGTCCTTTAATGATCAACTTTGTCAGGTTATGTTTCACGGGAATTAAAACGTAATTTTAATTTATTTTTAGTTCTCTTTACAGACCTCGATTCACGCAAAACCACAATCTTGGTGAGGTCAGATTTAATTTTTGAATAAAAAATTGGTTGCAGGTTATTTGGACAGAACTTTTAAAAATTTACAAGATTTGACTTTGCGAATTTAATTTTTTTACGATAATTTCCATAAGGTAAAATATAGATACGTGTGTAGTAAAGATCTGCTATCGAGGACTCGATTCTGCATTGACACAAATGCATTATTCTAAGAAACCATAAACTCAGAATAGGAAGCGATGACGGTCACAGTCCACGATTGCCAATTTTTTAAATGCAAAAACAAGATTCTCTTCTAAAAAAATTAGACAAGACTTAGTTTTACACGACCCTTTTAATGCAATTTTCTGTTTAGCTCGATCCTTTCGGCAGCGCTGCCCATCTGGCCGCATCACCGCCGAAATGAATCCAATTTAACACTCCATCCAAAAGCGAAAGTCGCCTTTTCCACTTTGGCGGATGCGCCGGTCCACATCATCACCACTACACAAAAATAGAATCCCAGCCAGTGAACGACGAAATCGAATCGAACGATTTTCCACGCTTCGACCTCCTAATTAAAACACACTCGAATGGAGGCGAAAGTTACCGTTTGATCCGCTACAAACCGCAAATCCCGCTACTAATCAAATTATCGTCCGACAATCGACTCTATGGGATGCAGCGGCAAGTAGCAGCTCGATTTAATCGAGAAACGATGCACCCGTCCATCCGTTCACCGAATGGTCAAGTGAACCGCAGAACCCGACCCGGTAGAGAAACTGCCGCACAACGCCCGCTCGTAATTGGTTATTTTAGTTTCATGGACCGCTGCCGGAGCACCCGTAATTGGCCTTTAAGTGCTCGACGAAAATTCGCAACCCTCTGTGGCGGAGTCGGAACGTTTCTTATGCAAATCGACGAGCGTATCGTGACGGAATGCTGGCAATTCGAATATGTAAGGTCGGATTTATGGGTGGAAGGTTGCTGGGACATCGGAAATTTCGCTGATACGTGTGAAAGGTGCAACGGCGA